GGCTGAACCAAACGTGCATTTATCAAACAGGTTTGTTTTCCACAGACCTTATTTCCAGCTATTTTCCAAAACCCTGTGGAGAAATCCCATTGCATTTTGTCGAGGGAACCAGCAGCTTACTTCCTGGTTTTAGGACGAGTCACTGCACCTCTCAATATGATGCCAATATAAACAAGGTCGTCTGTCGGCTCTGTACATCAATGCCGACCTATGCTGACAAGTAAGTGAAGAGTAGAAAATATAAAAGGTATTGGCTATAGGGAAATGTCCCAGCAGTTTAGGATAATGAAGGTTGTAATCTAATATTACATAGCCATTACATTTCTAACTCCTAATGACAGGAAGGCACAAAGTGCATTATACAAATTATAATACTCATAATAATAGCAGAAATTTTTTAACAACGACCACAATATCATTATTTTAATAAACCAAATATGAACAATTGAGGAAAATGAGGAAGAACTGATGATTCAAATGTTGTAGTACAAGTAGTAATGTAGTTAGTGCATAAATTACTATTGCAACAAATGTGTTAATTTTTGTCATTATAAGTCGATTTCTTTTGGACGAATGCTCCGGGCCAGTGGTTACAATGGTGGGGCCAGTGATAATACAATTCCACCGGCCCGGAGGGACAGTGGCATTTTACCCTTAATGTCTACCCCTGTAGTACTCACTGCCTGCCAAGTAAAATAAAGTGAATGTAATGCAGCATGCATGCTACGGCTACGACTGTCTTATAAATGACATGTGGTGTCATTGCAAGTAAACAATGTGCTGAATCAAAACACAGCATGGCAATACAAAACCTGGGAGGAACATTAAATAGCTGTAAGCCTGAGCTCACGCACTGCCTTGGTTTCATTACAAATCATTAATTAAAAGCCAGGCAGCCGGTTAATAATTGGATTAGGCAAAATTCCATACTGATGCTTTAGTGGCAACAGACTAAGAAATGAACAATCAGTCAAACAGTTTGAAGTTTAAGAGGAACAAGGAGTAGCAGAGAGAGCCAAAGAATCATTTAGAAAAATGGACTGGGAACCCGACCACGGATAAGCAGGAGAAGATGGATGGATGGATGGATTGGGAACAAAACTTGAAAATGGTTCCAAAACAAGCAAGTTAAAGATAGTAAGTGACAGAGTAACAAATGAATAAAAGAAAAAAAAAAGGGAGGGGGGAAAAAAGGGAGGGGGGGAAAAAGAGAGACGGAATAAAGATCTAACCGTTGGGACGGAGCTCATGTTCATCTGCTGTGGATGGTTCATGGGGGAGGGGGCTCGTGCTCCCATGGTTGCCTGAGACATCTGCGCATTCTGCATTGCCATTGGGTTAAACTGATTGATTCCTGTGGGAACAGATACATATATATTCAGAATTGTTCGTCATACTATGTATAGTATGTCATTTCTTATTTCATATCCTACTGGGCTGGCAGAGACACTGAACCAATCGTGTGCACAGGAAACAAAAACGCACTCTACTGTTGAAAGCTCACCAACTTTCTAGATTACATTGAAACATCAATATATTAGCAAACAGATTATCCAAAAAGAAAGAGCATACCTTGGGGCACCTGAATACGGTTCATTAACTGATTTGGCATGTTGGGCATAGGCACAGGTCCATCTAAACAAAAAGGCAGGATAAAGAAGGGTTTCGTTACAGAAATGCTTGGTACATGTATCAACTGAGAACTGCAGAATAGTTAGACGAGGCCAATTCTGAACCCTTTAGTGTCTTTCCCTAATAATATTTTTATCACAAAGAGTGTAGAGAGTTTGGCTACTGACTAGGAGATCGGACGGTCTGTCCCGGGACCATGGAGTTGGGCTGCTGAGGCCCGGCTGAGCCCACCATGCCAGGCTGTTTCTGCAGCCGCGAGCGCCTCTTCTCCTCCAATTCTTTCTGTATTTTGTAGATTTTCTCCGCCAGGAAGTGGTAATACTCGTCCTAGTGAGGGAGAAACAAAAAAAAAACAGATAGAAATTAAAAAACGATAACAAATGTGTTTCATGACAGAGGATAAACCATGTGATCAAAAAACATTAACGTATAATCCACCATCGCTCAGGTTGTAGCAGTGTGATATTAAAAACAAGTGTGTGTTATAGTAGTTACCCTGCTGTTAGCTGACTCGTACATGTCACCCTCAACCTTGCGTGCGTACGCCACCAGGTTCTCCATCCGCCGGTCCTTCAGTGCTGCGGGGTCTGGGGTGGGGAATATGGCTTGTACACTGGAGAGAAAATAAACAGAGAAATACAACAAACAAAAAAAATCAGCAAAAGCCCAAAGCAACAAGTGATATCCTGTTTTCATATGACAGAAAGAGTTTTTAAATCTATTTATCATTTTTGTACTTACAGTTTGTGCACCAGGTGGGTGCGCAGGTCCTGAGTGACGTGTTCATGCCAGGACTTCCTTACCCCCGAAGAAGAGAGAGGGGTGGCAGTGGGCAGGTTTCCCATGCCTCCCGCTACTGACCCATCTGGCATCAGCTGACTATAAAACAGAGACAGAGGAAAAAATGACTTAGAGAATTCAAATTATTGGTAATTCCACAAATGGATTACTAATTACTAAATAGTCAAATACTTTTATCCTACCTTATATTTTCAAGTTATATTTAAAAAGAACCTAAAGGCCGTAATACAGATGAAATCATGGATGATTAAATCAAAACAGAAGCCAAAGAATCAGAAATACTCGATCAACAGAAAAATAATCAGCATCTATTTCAATGATAGATTATTTATTTTTCTGTCATCACTGATCAAATGAAGAACTTTTTGGCTTTTTGGTTTGCCACACATTATTGTAAACTAAATATTTTAAGCTATTTAGATTTTAGATTTTTAAGATTTTTCCAACTAAACATGACATTTAAAGATGGCGCTTGGTTCTTTAAAGTTGTGATGGCCTTTTGGTAGTTGAAGCCCTACTGCGTATATATAATTAAATGGTAGCTACATCAAATATGATTTGTTGTCTTATATTAAGGAGGCGAATGCTCACTTGTTGAGTGATGATGGTAGAGAGGAGTCGGAGTGCATGCCAGCCTGGTCTGAAGAGGGGACTCCCATGCCTCCTGCCATCTGGTTCATCTGATTAGTGCCTGATAAACACATTGCATTTAGTGTTAGCAAGAAAATGGCTTAGCAACAGATTTAGAGTATTGTTCACATGTGCACGTCATCCTCTAAGATGGCACTGATGTCCTATCCATCACATACCTAGTGCGTTAAGACTTCGCAGCTGCTGGTGGCCCTGGGCGTTCTGCTGAGCGGGCCCCTGGCCCGGGACCTGGGCCAGGGACTGGTTCCCGTACGGCAGGCCGAGTGCAGCGTAGGCCCTCTGCATGGAGCTGGGGTCGATGTGTGTGGCAGCGCTGTTGATGGCGGTGGCGCTGGGCTGGCCCGAGCCCACGGAGCTGATGGCGCTCTGCAGGCTGGCCCCCGGAGAACTGAGCATGGCTGGAGGGAGGAGACGAGGAAATATATATGTGGTTTGTCAATAATGAGCTAATAGTAAAAGAGGAATTAAATATAAAGCCGGACATACTGTTTAACACATATAATTAACATTAGTTTAAAAAAATAAAGCCGGATATAAGAAATATAATTAACGAAAGTCCAAATAATCAAATGTATTCAACGAGGAAATAAATATTTGATTTGTCAATAATGAAACTATAAAATAAATATAAAGCCGGACATTGCCATTAATAACTGAGCATAGGATGTTTATTTTGTAAATTGCGTAATTATTTAGAATTTTCTTATCTTTAATTTTTTTTTTATGCATGCTTGTTAATTAATATTAAGCTGTCTTTGGCTCTTTTCTGCTGTAACAAATGGAAATGTCCCCTCTGTGGGACGAATAAAGGTATTCTGATTCTGACATACTGTATAACAGAATTTTACTAATTGTTTTTAGTTTTTCTATATGTAAATACACAAAAAATAGGCATACTAAAACTAAATTAAATGGAAATAAGATACATTTGAGTATATATTTACTCAAATGTAAAAGTAAATAACATTAAATATTTTAAAAGTTTATTTTCTGTGTAAAGAAACAAAATCTCTCAGAAAAGATTATCTTTCTGAGCGGACCTCCATCTAAAATCCTTGCTCCGCTCCCTGCTGTGTTGATTGCTGACAGGGAGCACGCTGCCTCTGTGGGGGATTTAAATCTGTCATAGGGCCTTTCAGCCAAACAGAGAGCCTGCTGTCCCAAGACCCTGCCCCCACAGATAACAGAGCCACGGAGCCCCTCCCCCGGGTGTCAGATTACAGGTCCAGCCTTTCTAGAGGAATCCTCACAATGTTTGAGCGAGCCTGTACAGAGCTTTGTGAGAAAACTCAACCTGCAGGGGGCAGCACTTCATACAGCACTCTGACTGGAGCCTCGAGAGGAGACTGCCTGGTAGAGCAGTGTTCAAGGTATCAAAGATTTATTTCAATTTTTTTTTAGAAGGTGCTATTCAAGCATGCCATTTGTTCTCCATTGTCTTTTAACTTACCTACATGCATTTGTATATGGATTTGTAAATGAATAATAACAAATTGAAGTTGGTTGAGATACTCACGTTGCTGGTTCCTCTTGTCACTGGCGTTCTTTAGAGGCAGGCAGACCGGACAGTCGTGCCGCGTGCAGTTCTTCCAGTGGGAGATGATCTGTCTGGATGATGCACAGTGAGCCACTGCGGAGAATAGAAACAGAAACAGAGACATTAAGTGAGGTTTGCATATTCAGTAATTCAGCAGTATCGGACATTTAAAAGTTAATGATTTAAAAACAGACGTTTGATAAAGGAAACACACGTAAAGCATACAACGAGTAAAATAAGTGTAGGCACTTTTAAAATGGCTGGATAAAGTAATTAAACCAGGCACCATGTCAACTTAAAATACAGGGCAGTAAAAAAGCATCAATTGCTACAGTGCAATGCCCATATAGCTTTATAAAGGCAATTATGCATCGTAAATCCATAAAAGTGTCATTGCATTTGCTTTAAGAGTATAAACAGTATAAATATCAGAGTTGAAAGTTCATCAACCTTGGCTGACCCCCTTACTAACCACAGCTGGCAGAGAGAAGCTGCTTGTCGTCAGCATGTTCAAGGAAATGGAGTGAAACCATCATTACAGCCGTTTAAAAAAAGATTAAATTCAAGTTTGCTGATCTTATCAGTCACCGGGCCATTTGGGGCTTAGTGACTCAAGAGTGGCTCTATTTAGCCAATACAACACAAAAGCTTAATACTTTCTATTTGACATTGTGTAAAACAATGCAACTTAAAGGTCACCTATCATGCTATTTTTAGGCAATAGCATAGGTCTGAAAAAATGAAAAAAAACATGTCTATGAAGTGTTTTGGTCAACAAAAAAAAACATCACCCATTCTACCCATGCCTCATATCCCTCTATTTCACTTCCTGTTACAAAAGTGCTGATTCTGGGCATAAACAGGTCTCTCGTGAGAATTAGACCCTGTGTCTCAATGAGATTTTCACTTGTATAAATAAAGGCTAAATTAAAAAAATATAAATAAAGCTTTTCTTTTTACGGAAAAAAACAAAAACAAGAGGGGGCGGAGCTTATGCCGGCTCATGCGGCCGGAGCCTGGCAGATACTGTCTAGAATGCTGCGGTGATGAAACAAGGATTATTAGATCAAGGATTATTTCTGAAACAGTATGGAGCTCAAAGGCTTTCTCTCTTACCGGTTATACCACAAGGTGAGTTCCTTTTTAATTCCTGCTTCTTCACACACATATTCTCTCCAGTACAGGTTAGCTCTGAGTGTTAGCGATGCTAATGTAAACAACGACCATATTACGTCCGAAACAGTCGGGCATTGTTTCTGATAGCAACGTTTCTGATAGTGCTGTGGGTCCGCCGCCGATTTGACGTCATATCGGCCGCAAATCTGGATCAGCTCCGTTGTAGCCCCGTTTTTAGAGATTTGGGTACGGAGGAAAAGAGAGAGGGTTTTATTTTCTGACGACGCGTGAGTTCCCTGACACACCGGGGACACATATTTATGTATAAAAGACATCAAAAAGTGCATTTTGCATGATAGGTCCCCT